TTGTTACCGTGAAAATATGATTGTACTAACAAGCATGGTATTAATTTTTCTACACTATTAAGATTAGGAACATGTTGCAATTTGTAATGGGACATATTTATTTTTCCATATAATTTATTGAACATAAGTTTTTCTAAATAAAAAAATATAGCAATCAGTAATTTATTTACTATATACTTAGTTGTGTAATTTTTTCCCATATAGGGGCGATACAACTTGATAATTATATTTGCTTCTCATATTATTATTTATACTCTGCATTAGCGATAAATTGTCATTATCTTCGGTATTAGTTTATTATTGTAAAATGTATATTAAATTATATAAGTTGCAGCATTGGACGGGATGTGCCTGGTTTTTGAAAATATTGCAATTCTCCAAAGAAACTTTTATATCTCTGATATTAAGCTTTCTTGCGAGCTACATAAGTTTTTTGTAAGATGAGACCATATGGCTATTTAGAAAGTCGAAAACCGAATAAACCGTCTATCTCTCTATATATAATATATGCTGATAATTTTATTTGCAATGAGAAATAAAAGTATTATAAAGAAAAATAGATATTACTCAATATGAAAAGCCTTCCATACTATCAATTTCAATAATAATGAGATTTTCATCTAAACTACTTTTTGTGATTATATTTTCTGAGATTGCATCAGTTTTCTAAGAAAATATGTAGATATATAACTTGATATATAACTTGAATATATATATATATATATAATAATATATATATATATAATATTCCGTTTTCTAATTTGCAAAATATTGATTTTCCTTTCTCGACGAGTAATTTTACGAAGTTCTAAAAAATTCGTGCCCGAAAAAAATTTTAATAAATTGAAAAAATGGAGTATATTGAAATTCGATTCCACAAAGTATATGCACTTTATCTTGAAATGATCGAATAAATTATAAAAAAGAATTTTTTTTTCTTCTTATACTGTTATGAAATGAATAACTGATAAATATAAAAATTAAAAATAAATCAGATACATTTATTAACTATCTGTAGGGTAAGTTATAGTAATCGCAAAAAAATCGAACATGGAAATTTTCATATCTTCACGTTTCAAAGGTTTCTGAACATTTTGGTATACCTTAGAAACAATGGATGTGCGTGTGTGTGTTTGAATACAATTTTTGTCGACGATTTTGAGAGCACGGATGAACCTATTTAAATGACTTAAAAAACATTCGATTCCTATTAATAAGGAGAGGTGCTGATTAGTTTTTGGCAGGTCTAGCCTTTTCGAAGATACGGGCAAAAAGTGCCAAAATCGTAATTCAGTTTTTGAGATAACGGAGCGTCCGATTTGTATGATTTAGAAAACATTCTACGCGTATTGATAGAATGATAACTGATACAATTTATGGGAAGGCAGGACCAGTGGTTTTAGAGATCCAATGAAAGTAGACTTAAACAATGCCATTTGGCGGTCAAAAGTGATCATTAGACATAAGCGCATCAAATTATCAGATATTTTTAGAGATTATAATAATAAGTATAATCTTGTTTGCATTTCTATGGGTTTTCATACCAAGATTGATAATGTTTAACCGTTAGACTATGGCGCGGCGCCTACGCGCTTCAATATTACGTCACTAAAACAACTACGCGCGGCTATAAAATTGCTCATAAAAAAAATTCAAAGTTTTTTGCCTTAGGGTACGAAACCATGCACCACTATAGTATCATTACTATCCACATTTCTATTTATGTAGCCTCAATTTTTTCATTGCACTAATTCGCATCTCACGACTACGGGTTATATAGATCGAAATAATGGTTTTGATATTTTCAGCACGCTATTTTTTATGTCTATTATTAAATTAATTAGCATATAATTGGTATATAAAATATAAATTAATTTAAATAAAAAAATAATGAAAAACACCTTACAGGTCCCCTTATGGTAATTACTCAGAAGGTGACCAGTCTTGCGTTCAGCATTCACGACGGCCTGGCACGCGACGAGAAAGATTTAACGAAGGACCAGAATTATCATGCTGTTCGCAGAATACCTACTGCTCTGCTCTAGAGTTCTTCAGTTACACCTTCCATTTCCAGGGTCTTATGGCTGGACCAGTTGTTTTTTATAGAGATTATATTGATTTTATTGATGGAAACCATGTTCTGAAATTTACACCGAAATCAACGGTACGTGTGAGATCAAAATATTGTAATGCATAGACATAAAAAACGTAACTTCTGCCGATGGTAGATTCATATATTTATGTAGGAGAATCAATCGATAATGTGTAATGAAATTGTAAAACAACAAAAAGATAATGCCTCAGATCGAATTTTATAGTATTTTTGTTATACAAATAGTTGTATATTTATTCTATACCAAGGATCTGAGAATGAACAGAGATTTTATTATTAACCACTTTGCTACGAGGGTGTTTAAAATAATTCACGGTTTTCCGATCAAAACCGATAAATATGTATTTAAAAATTAAAAACTACTTTTCTAAAGAACTAAAAACAATAAAAACGAATTAGTATTCTCAGTAATTTAACTCGGAGAGATAAATCTTTAAACCAAATGTCGCATATAGACTACGCTTGTAGCAAAAGGGTCAAGTTATAGCAGATACTATTCATTGAATTTTATATAGTTGTTATATTTTATTTCATCTCGGATTAAATCGTTAATTTATTGGATAACATATTAAATCATTTTCCACACTCAAATCCTTACTATGTATTTTTAATAATTAATTTATCTTTAATAATTAATTGCTATTCAAATTTTAGGCAAGTCTAGATAATAACTCAAACAGCAGAAAAGTTGTGCTTGAACCTTCTCCTATAATCATTGTCTTCAAAAAAGTGATAGTCAGCACAATATGCGCACTGATATTTATTAAGTTCTTCCCATTGTTTCCAATTAAAGCTTTGAAAGGTTAGTGCAATGTTACTAGTACTAGTATCTTAAAATCAGAATACTTTGTGTATTAAAATATGTTAATTTTTTTCTTTCATTTTAATCATTTTTAGAAGATGAATTTATAGTGGATATGAACATATTTCAAAAAATGGTCTATGTTATAATGTCCACTACACTAGTACGATTTAAATACTATCATGCATGGATATTAGCAGATGCCATTTGTAACAATTCAGGTCTAGGCTTCAATGGATATGATGAAAATAATAATCCTAAATGGGATGGTATATCTAATATTAATATTCTGAAGTTTGAGGTAATTGTTCTTTCAAAAGAACCATTTTCTAATCATTGTGCATTACATAAGGAATATTTTTACTACTTTACATTTTTTGATTAAAAGTTTATTTAAAATTAACACTAAACACTAGAACTAAATATTTTAAATTGCATTATGCCTTTGCAATGTTTGGCTAAATATCTACTTTGTTTATTTTTTTTAGTTTGGAACAAGCTTTCGTGAAAGTATAGCTAATTGGAATATGGGTACAAATAAATGGTTGCGAATGGTTGTATATGACAGGGTGTCCAAACACGGAACTGCGTTGACTTATTTGCTTTCAGCATTTTGGCATGGTTTTTATCCAGGTTATTATTTAACTTTTGCAACAGGGGCACTTTTTACTATAGCTGCCAGAAATGTAAGTCTAGTACATGACTTATTTCTTTAAAATGCATATTACTGATAATGACTATTATTTCTCAGATGAGACGTTGCTTTAGACCATTATTTATTAATGACAAAAGATCAAGAATATTCTATGATATTTTAACATGTCTTGTGACAAGAGTATTTATGGCCTATGCTACTTTTACATTTGTTTTATTGGAATTCTGGGCAGGAGTTCGAGTTTATTTGTAAGTAATTATTAGGCTGCCTCAGATGGGTTTGCAGACTTTCTTGTAAATTATTGATTTTAATATTATATATATAATCTATTTATTTCAGGCATTTATATCTATCATTTCATATTCTGGGTTTATTAGCCCTAGTCATAGTTCCTATGATTCAACCACACATTCATCGATTATTTGGCTTGAATCTCTTCCCTAAAAGTTAGTTCTAGACGTTCTGATAATCAGACTAACGATAAAGGTGCTATTACGGGAAGAATAGAAAGTTTTAATGATGAATCAAAAACAAAAAAACTCTATGCAGAGTTTTCCAAAGGAATTGTAACAAGTGATGTCTTACTCAACAATGTGATAGATTCTGTAAAAACAAATTAGCTCAAGTAATGGAGTGAACAAACTGATATTTCCATAAAGTAGAATTTATAAATGGTTAATGCTAAGGTTTGTCTTCCGCAAGCAGGAAACATGTTTGGATGACTGACTAATATTTTTATAGCCGTTGAACACCTTTAATAATTTAACAGATCTTAAAATGAGTATATTTAAAATTATCAAGTTTATTGAATAAAGGAGGTAATTTATTTCATTCAAAAGTACCCTTTACAATTTTATTAACTGTTGCATATTATCAAAATTTTGTGAAAACTGAAAGATAAAATTAAAATCAAATAATATTTAGATATAAAAGTTTTTATATATTGTAGATTTATATCTTATAATAAGATAAGCTAACAATAATGAATTTGTGTATATGTATCAATGTATTTTATATTCAAATTTTATCTTTTGCACAAAAACCATATTTAATATATTATCTACATAATATATCTTTTAAAACAAAAACCATTGATAGATAAACACATAGTGAAATATTATAAAACGCTTGTTAAATGTGCACAATAGAAATATTTATTAACTGAGAAGTTCAGCTTCAGACTGTGATTAAAATTCAAATCAACTTTATCATGAAATTCGTCATTTTATTACACAAATCATTTCATTTTATTTATTTAAGTATAGTTTATTTAGAATATTTTATTGGTTTAATACTTAAAATAATTAGTAAAGTATTTTACTAATTTCAAAATAACTTTGTATGTATAAATGAAATACAATGCATTTATTTTAAATTGTAACTGATAATTTTTAAAGTCTATATTTACATAATATTTCAACATTGCAGTATCATTGTGGATTGATAATATCCATCACACCTGTTGAATACCGTTGTGATAAATGAATTTCTTGAAGTTCTTGTGAACCAAATTCATATGAGCCAAATGTATTTAATATTATTGAAGCATTAAATGGTTTTCTTGCCATCTCCTCCGAGTCTTGGCTGAACAAAGAATTTAGTAATGTGACATGAAGTTTCACATGGTCATACTGTTTCTGTATCAAACCTGTTTGAAAAACGCTATCAATTCATATTTAACTCAACATAAAATACCTTAATTTATATTATTAGAAAAATTCATTGATGTTGATAATAAAACATTCAAACATACCTTTCCTAGAAAAAAAATCAACAATTTTATCTAATAAATTTTGAAATGTGCCATCATTACTCCACTGGGTCTCTTGAATACATCCGTATAAAACATCAACTGTTGATGGATCATCATTCATTATTTCTAGTCCAGATAAAGTCAATTTTATAGGCCCAAGTTTTTCAAGAATAGGACTACAATCATATCGCATGGGTAATCTTTTGATTGAGTTTATATTTATTTAAAAAACGGCACTTACTCTATTACAGATTTTCTGCATTCATTTAATATTCTGCAGCTAGTGCTCTATCCTCATTATCCATAAGGCACATTGTTCCAATAGTTAAATGCAACTTTTCAGGAATTTGAAAACTTTTTGGATCTACAAAAATTAGTGGGTTTTCAAGAATACGTGCCTAAAAATAATCAACAACTTTCATATGTAAATAAATCACTCTAAAAATGAATAAATTTCTTACTTTGAATTCCTGAAACCGATCTTTTATTTCAGCTGAA